AGTCAGGGCACAATCCAAATTCCTGCGTGGACGAGTGCTACCAGGTGTTTGAATTATGCCCAGAAGGCTTCATTTAACACAATAGGCTGGTGGAAACACTGGGTCTCTACTTTACGCTGCATTATCCGTAGTGTAGTGCACCCAGCTGCTTGGCTGCTACTTTACCGCTACGCTAACCACAATTTTTTTCCCTGGGCTGTAGTGTAGTGGGACCCTTTTCTGAAACCCAAAAAAAAAACTGATAGTGTAATGGTTTCACCCCTGGATAGTGCGCTACTGCACTATCCTGTAGCACAACTGGGCCCTTCTTTTTGAGACCACCAAAATCTGATTTTGTAACATTTTCACCCCTGGATATTGTGTTACGCACCATCCAGGGGTGAAACAGCCCTAATCTGATGAGGAACTGGTCCTGCCTCATCATTTAAGCGCCCCAACCTGCTAGCAGCCATCCATCACTTGTGCCCTTTGTCCCCAACCCCATCCATCTTGATTCTTCACAAAAATCATCTTCAACATTATTTGATATCATCCAATATTATTCATCTTACTTACTCATATGAATGTTCCTCTCTCCTACGTTTGTCTTCCTAACAGTAATTTTTCTCTTGTCATCTCCTCTCTACCATCTACATATAACTAAAAAAACAGCCTCAGAGGGCCAAACAAACTGTCAGCTTTCAATAGGTCTTTGTATTGTTTCTCATGCGGCTTCTAACGCCGGCGTCGATGTTGTACATTTCAATGTCATTTCCAACAACTTTACAATCATAGCGACCTTCAAAATTGAAGGCTATTACACCATATGACCTTCAAACAAGTAAAACCCCCAACATCCGGGGCAAAATCAAGCAACCTCCCCAAATTTGGGGGCATATACTAGTAATGCAATAAAAAACTACAAAAAAAAGGCCGCTTCAATAGTGTAGTGGCCAAAAAAAAGCAAAAAAAGAAAACAATAATGTAGTGTGTTTGCACTACAGGAAAAGTAGTGCTAGTGACAAAAAAAACACTACTTTACCGCTACACCACCGTTACTGGTAGTGTAGCAACCCAGTGTTGCTGGTGGCAGGACTTGGCACATAGGCAAGTCCCACTGGGTCAATTGGTGGCCCAGGAGCTCTTGTGCACAAGCCTGGCATCAAATGGTGTGCACCAGCCTTTGAGACAAATCTCTCTCAATGAACTGTACAAACCTAGTCTCTGAGGACGGGAGATACATGCCTTGATGCTTGGTATACAGACAGAATTCCTCAATAGTCAGGGATACATTTACCTTTAATGGTTGGCACATTGATGTACCAGCAACGGTGCAACAGAGACGATACAATACGGTATCAGGCGTTTATCTGTATTGTCTCAGAATTTGAATACCCAAAAATACCAGATTTGTGTTGTCTCACTTTCCTGAGACAATACACACGTATCGTCTTTGGAAAATGAGACAAGTATTATGTATTGTCTCAGATGACTGATCCCACCAAAAATTTATTTGACACATAAGATATTTGGCCGTATTGAAGAAAAAATGAAAAAACAAAGACATTTTTTTCATTTGTAAATCTGAATCCAATACAATATATTTTTTCACCAACCAAGGAAATACTGATACCGGTATCAGGCTCAAAATAAATATGATTCGATCCAATCCGAATACATGTCTCGTATCTGTTGCACCGTTGGTACCAGCCATCAAACATAAGGCTCTGCTCCTGGATGATTGGTACAGTCAACAGTGGGCCGCTACACTAACTGTAGCGGTTAGTGTAGCGTAACGCAGCGGAATCGCTGTTAGCAATTAGCATAGCGTAGCGGAATTCCGCCACAACACCGCTAACGCTACGCGTGTGGGCTGCAAAAAAGGGCCCACTACGCTGCGCTACAGCGCTTTTTAGCGGTTTTTGGCCGCTTTTTCCGCTAAAAGCGCTGTAGCGTAGCAAAAAACCGCTAACACTACGGTTTTTGGATGAAAAAAAAGCGCCGCTATGCTACGCTTTATGGGCCAAAAGCGTAGCGTAGTGTAGCGGCCCACCACTGGTACAGTATTGGTCGTTGAGGAGAGTGATTGACAAAGAAGTGAACTGGCCATCAAGAAGGGATTCCTTCTTGATGGCCAGCATTTTGTTAGGTGTGGTACCCTCACTTGATTTCAGCCAAGCAAGGCTTTGTCCCAAAACCCACCATCTTTGACAGGTGCCATGGGAGGTTTGAAACTGTGCCATGTGCGCTTTGAGCTCAGCCAAGTGGGGTTTAGGGTTGGCCCAGTGTGCTTGACTATTTTTTTGCTAAAATTTGGTGTGTGCATAGACTGGCTTGCAACACATTAGTGATGGGCTGCTGCATTTTTTTTCATTTTTTCAATGCAAATCAGATCTAATCCAAAAAATTGAGTATCAAAGATTCAAATAATTGGGGCATCTTACCACTTTGTTATAGTATCCTCTCTAGCACAAGTCTATCAATGGGGAACTCATCCCAAGTACTCCCAGGAATTTGGATCATGAAACCCAAAATACTCAGAATTCTAATGTCAGCCACAAGACATGTAGGACATGTCCAAATGTCTGAATTGGCTCATATTTCCATGAGTTGATTTAGTGAAGTGGTTCAATGAACACTTCAAAGGATGGGTTACATCTTGATATATGCATTTGAGTCCAATTGCCCTTGTTTTCTCATTCTATACCTATGGAATAACTAAAGTGAATATTCTCTCTTTATGTATTTAATGTAAGGAGAGAGATTATTACCAATATGGATTAAATTAATCATCTCTCTCTGTATTGATTCACCAGGAGAGGGATGATGTCATTTCCTCCACTTTTGGTTTAATCTTAATTTCAATACATATTTTGAAGATTTATTATTTATATACATAAATGATCATCTGTTGGCCTCACTGGTCTCACAGGCAGATTGGGTCCCTGCCTTTGCAATACTTAAGGGGAAGGCTTTCCTCCTAGGATTCCTTCCCCCCAGAGATTATTGCCATACAAACCCGTTTACCTTACTTAACATTAGTGAGTGTGGTTTTAGCAGTACAATCTCCCCTTGCTCTCTATGTTGTATTTTCATTATCCCTCCCTAGACCACAGTAAAGTCACTAATTTAGCCTAGAAGAAACCCCTCTGCTTCCTAGCGTTGAGGTGAGGTTCAATTCCTACTGGCTGTTCACCCGCTATAGTATGACCCACTACCCCATCAACAGCAGGTCACATGAGAGACTGGCACTGACATCCATATTACCAGCTTGAAAGTGTTTTGATACCTGAATTCTGGTCACTTCAAGTTTGGGATGTCTTGATACCTGAATTCTGGTCACTTCAAGTTTGGGAGTTACTCTTTGAACTTGACCTGAGTAAAGGATGATCCACTCCCTCTACAGCCTTGGAAAGTACCAATTGTGTTCTATTGAAATGCTTATGTAGTATATAACATTGTAGAGGAGTGTGTTACAATTTGCCATAATTTTGTTCCACAATATTGTAGTATAATGCTTTTTGTTTTTAAGCTTGAACATGTATTGCTGTGAAGATTTGAATTGAAACTTAATGCCAATACAGAAAGTTACATTTGAAAATGTGCCACTACTTTAAACATCCTACTAATGTTAGGATATTGGCCCT